TTCTCATGAAAAAGGAAGATAAATGTACTGGTCAAATGGATATGAGTACAGTATATCTTTATGATATTTTGCAAACCCGTTTCTTAAAACCCAGAGGAACATCTATGTCGAATTTCAGTCTTATAACCCTGATAGTTGAGCCAATTTGGACAGCTCCATGTTGTAATCTATATGTTAATAGGCAAGCATGTTTCTTTAAAACCTTTTTTCCCAGCTCCTGTGCATCGCAGGAAAATTCTAGGCATACAGTTGGAAAGATATTTTCCTGTAGATGTGCAGAATCCCTTTATAAATTAAAATAGGCTCAAAAATAAGCACAAAAAATTAATTTTAAATGTTGAAAAGTTAACATGGATCTTATGGGTTGCCATGCTGGTGACGAAATAGCAACGAAATATAAACAGACATTCATAACAAATGGAAGAAACTCCAATCACATGTTTTATTTCCAGTGTGGGGTGAAAATAGAGAAGTCTGTACATTGCATATTTTTGGTCGAGTTTCGACCACTGGACGACCTCTAGTATTACATAAATCTGTAAAATGAAATCTTGTATGTCCAAACTTACTTATTCTACTAGTTACTTAGTTCTATTAGTTAGTTATTCTAACTAGAAAAGAGCCGGTGTAAGAAGCAACGTTAGAGGCAAATTAATGACAAAAAACTCAATTTACACAAACAATTATAAAACCGAAATAAAAAGAACCGAAACTCTGCGCCACAACCGCTGTAGAACAAAGGCGCAGGAAGGGGAAATGAAGAGATAAGGAAACGCGGGGGAGAAGACTCAATTAAGGAAATCCGTAAGGTTAATCCGGCTAGTCCCCGGCTAATATCGTGCGATAAGCGCTTCCTGGGAGAGAGGGGGGGGGGAGGTGATTGGTCAAATGTTTCCTCCAGGTGACAAATTAATATAGCCCCCCCTTCACCCCCCACCACCGATCATATCCTGGGGTAATTATGGTCTGTTCCGTCGTATCTGATCAACCCTTACATCCCACAACCCCACACCGGCGATTGAGAGCCAAATTGGGGGTTCCCGGGATTTATGGAGGTGATGCGGTGTGGTGAGAGTTAGGTTTGAATTTTACACGGAATAAGAAATACAGATACATTTTGCGGAAGAGACTCATAAACATGTTGTAGAATGTAGATTGTAGTTGGTCCACTTTTTTACTGTGGCAACAATATTAAACATTGGATTTCCAACTTAATTCGGGTGTGTTCAAGTGAAAATATCATTTTTGACCTTTGTCACATCGAAATAATTTACTGGTTATGGAAACCATATTACCATTAATTTTTCGAATAATAAAAGTGAGTGGATTTTCTCCATTTATCTTACAATCACACAACTTCCCATGTACATGTGTTCGTTCAGTTGCAATGATAAAGATATAGAGTTGATGTCTTACTACTCTTAGATTCCTAAACATTAAACCATCGTGCTAGTGAGTAGCCGTGAAACGTAGTGAGTTGAGTGTGATAGCCATAGATCGTCTGATTACTTTGATTTAATACCTTGAATAAATGTGTCAAACATCTCAATAAGTACGGGGTCTCAATAATCCAAGCAAATAAATACTTGCACAACTCCTACCTACATAATTTGTTTTTAAAGTTTTTCAATATTTTGTAGGTAAACCATTAGCCATAAAATATGATAGCCAGAGGACCTAGAGCTCATGGCCGCGTGAGGATGAGACCACAGTTCCCACAGCGGTGTGGGAGGTGTTTGTCTAACTGTACATCGCTATATAGCTACATAGCCACATCCACATTTGGATTACTGGAGATCCGTCACGCTGTCAGCTGTCAGCTGTCAGAGAAAAGAAGAACAAGTAGTGGAAAAGTGGATTTTCAGAAACTAAACTCTGCCGGGCGACACATCTATTATTGTTTGCGTTTGCACCCCTAAAACATGTACGCAAAAATAATTACATAGTCTACATTACATAAGTATGTATATAGTGTCTCATTAATTGGTGCTAAATTTGATTTCCACAGCAATTTTTAGTACAATTATATACTTTATGGTATTTTTGTTTTAATTTTTTTTATTCTCTTCATTAATCCCAAAAAAATTGATATAATATGAGCGAAAACACCGTAGCAAATGTATTAAAACTCAACAATGTAGTAGAAGACACATCAAGGAAACACTGATAGAGAGGTTAGTTTCTCCGATTTGAGCAAGGATTTTTGTGGTATGTGGTATAAAATGACAAGTTGTTTATATACAGTAGAAAAGTAACATTTGATTTAATTATTAATCCGTTCCATATGTAGCCTTGAGAATAATATACTTGTTCGCAATAGTTATTGACAGTGAATTTCTACAACAAACTTAAATTACAAGAAGCTATGAAGATTTTAACGTTTGCAGGAAATAACGCTGTCTCTGTTGAATCTATGGTTCAGTAGTAAATCTATAGGACCAAATAACGTATTTATTTTTACAAAATATCAATTTTACTTTGAATTAGTGGTTACAAAGGTATAATAAGTTGTATAAACCTAAATTACAACAATTTAAACATTGCAGGTTTTCTTTTTGTCACCATGATAATCAATTAATGTGTACTTCTTGAAGCTCTACCACTGATCTTGGAAAGCCAGTAGACATATAAGCCGATATAAAAACGGGGATAGGCCCATAATAGTCCCGGGTACGTAGAATATTTTGGACGATATTCACCTTTTTAACCTACTGGTTACACAGTAATGGAAAGACACCTCGTTTATATAATAGTAAAAAAAAAGATTTACGTAGAATCCATGGAAAACGAGTTTCTAGAGGAACAACAAAACGAATATCATGTTCTGGGGTTTCCAAGTTTCGAGATACGGGCAATGGTTCACTTGTACAATACAATGTAGTCTTTATGTGCCAATAACGCCGCCGCCGCCGCTAGATCCAGTTTTGATTGCCCTCATGCCCCTCATGCCCCTCATGCCCCTGATGCCCCCTGATGCCCCCATGGGACGACATTGCCGTGTTTTACGCGGCCCCGTTGTACAACAATTACCGAGATTGGGCCAATTCACCCAATTTAGTGATAAAATACCGTTCTTGGTGACGAAGGCGCTGTGATTAGGTTTATCGTCTGACTGGTGTGGGGCGCGAGTTGCGAGAGAGTTATATATATATATATATATTTAGTACAACACATCGTTCATTTGAAGAAATTACTTGGGCGAAAGTAAACTCTGTAACGTGCTACTAATCAAGAAATGGTCCGTCTGTACAATGAGATCAAACATTCAGTAAAATGCCAGTTATGTTGTTAGTAAATAATGTAACGAACAAGTAGGCTAGTATATTATGGTTTGGTATCGGTTAGAAACATGTTAAAGATAGAACTTCATTCGTTAGATAATTCAATATTGCAAATTTTCGCCCTTGAATAAGACTTATTTCCTCGACCACTAACAGGTAACTTAAATTGAAATTTGTGTCTTAAACAATTTGTAACCTAATGTCCTACTATTTGTAACCTCGACCCTTAACAGGTAAGGTTTACTTTAAATCCTTAACCTTGAACAAATTTGTTAAAGTTTATGTAACTTGAGAAAAAAATTATTAAATTTTGTTTGGTAAAAAGAATTAAAATCCTAAAATTATTTTGAAACCATGCGTAAGTAGTTTATATGTGTGTAAATAAGTAAAGTTTTCTGTGCAGTATATCGTCGAGAGTTTGAAATAAAAACCTTCCTGGTCATTCTAGAATAGCCTTTGTACAGCATAAGCAAAAATAATTCTGTGCCTATATTTGACATTAGATACTGAAGTCAGTAGTGTTCAATTCAATCATCGATATGCCCAATACATAGGTCTACCACGAAATTGCAGAATGAGTAGATGACCTACACATCTCGTCTTACTGTATTATAAAACAGTACTTTATAACAGTAATACAAATCAATGCTTGGAAAGATTTATAAAACATATAGAATAAATGAAAACATTTAATATTATTGGTACGAAACGGTTTTTAATATTGAGGGCCGATCATGAAAATACTCCAAGATAATTGTACAACAAAATACAACAACGGGACGATTTTTGGAAGTACTGTAAAAAGTGAGATCTAGTGTCAGAGCCAGTGTTGGGGGGGGGGGGGGGTACTCAGGTTACAGGGGGAGGTTATGTGGGTATGGGGGCGGCGACAAGTGGTGTGATATTGTTGCTGGGAATTGCCGAAGGACGAGAAAAGACGTTGCCTGTGGTGTATAACTAAGTGTCATCGTGGGTCATAGGTTGATTAAATAAACTGTTTATAAATAAAAATTTGTATTAGCAGTGTATTGCGAAACCAGAATGTAGATAAAATATTTCTAAATTGTTAAAAATGTTAAGGTGTGTAAAGGGGTCTGGGTGGGTGTTACAAAACCTTAATGTATAGAAATATATTTCAAAAATATTACAGCAAGTATGACATGTAGCAAAGGGTATGGGTGTATACCGAGAAATCAGAAGGTATAAATAAATTGTTTTAAAAGTGTTACAAAAAAGGTTTATTAAAAGGATAACAACGGAGCTGAGTGTACCAGGAAATCAGAAGGTATATAAAATAAATTCATAATGAGTACCTATTCAGAAATCAATGGTTCTTTTAGACGTATGAGTATAGTAAAGAAAACACTATAAAATGTATACAGAAGGCGAACGCCGATTACTGTACGAAACATGATTGAATTCATACAGATTTATATAAAATTATGTGCACTGAGTTGGAGTGAATATGTTTTAGAAAAATTTAAATGTTACAGCAAAAAATGAAGATACTAATGATTCCACTTAAAAGCTATCTAGTTTTATTTGTTCTCTTATCTACCTGTACATGCGAATGAAAAGATTATCTCAGTTACAGTTCTCTAACACATATGAACACGTAACACACAAAACATAATTCACTATAAATGTAGATACAGGAATACATACACAACTAGCAAATCTGCTACATCATTTTCAATAAACAAAACATTATGTGCTTACCATATATTTTATGTCGTTTTGTATGTATTAACATCCAATTTGTATGCGTTTATCCCAATGCATCGATATCCTGAAACAATAAGCATTAATAAGCAAAATTATGATTTTTAGAACTGCACAACTTCCTATACAATTAATCGCTTAAGGTTATTACAATGATTACTGATCCACAAAATTTTACTTCTCAATTAGGTTAGAACCAAGCGATGCAAAATGCACTAATGCGAAACAGTTTTTGAATTGGAATGATTATAAATACTCATGTGTTCAATCAATCAATCTATACACAATCTTGATGAGAAAAATACAACAATTTGTAAAGATGAAGACTTGAGACATACTAAATCATTAGGATTATAATGCAACTTAGTTTTGTGTACAAAGTTTTACTTTACGTTTCAGGGGTTAAAGTGAATGCACAAGAAGTTGTCTGGCGATAAGAAGTGGCAGTCGTTATCCAATTGAACGCACAATTAACCGCGAGTTTGCTGATAATGCAGTCGATGGTGTGGAAATGCTGCTGATGTACTGCTGATATCAGCTACGTCAGAGTGCAGCACTTGTTGCTGACTACAAGGCTATCTGTTCGGCAATGTTGAATGATTTGAAACTAAAAGTTGTTTTTGACTATATGCTTAAAAACGTCACGGGAAGGTGCAATTGTATTAAGTTTGTGTTAAACTGATCATCTAAAATTGAGTAAAGAATAATGAGTAAATAGTGTTTTTTATTAATTCAACCATTGGCCTATTATATTTAATATTTGGGGTATATTTTAAGGAATTATCTGTAAAAGTAAATTCGTTTTAGTGCTATTTTAAGGTCCAATTTCAATTAAATTGGTTTACCCTATGGTTGTCACGTTCTTGAATGTTGTAGATTTCACGCTCATAAAAATCTATTATGCGCATACAAATCTACAACCTTCAAGAATCTGCCAACCATAAAGTAAGCAAATTTAATTAATCATTATTTTGTTCTTGAAAGTGTGAATACCACACAAAAGTTCTATTTTAATGATTTCAGTAAGACTTAAGTTTTAACTTTTAAAGTTTGCAGATTCAAGTTTGCAGATTCAGCAAATAGCTTTTGATACAAAATTGCAATGACTAAAAATATTAATATATTCCATTCAATATAAAGATATTAATCGAGTCATTTGACTTAATTCCTTAGTCTGTAAACTTTACAATATATTGTTAGGGTTACATTATGTTTTTCTGAAATAACGACCTAGAGTGAATGTAATCCATTTACTATTTTAATAAGACATTTTTGTTGTTCAACAATGTGAATGTATTTTATGTTGTCTTGGTATATTAATTAACTAATTGTATATTCAATTAGCTAACCAAATATCATAAACTTTGTTTACAAAAGGGTAACTTACACTTCATACTTTCTTCTTTGTAATATCGTTACAACGAGGATTTAATTGCATGTTACATGACCAAATCTACTGAACCACTTAAAAAAAACAAAAAAAAACACACACACACAATATGGTGAGTAAATCGTCTTGCCCAAACACGTATTGACCTTGTGCCTGGGTGTTCATTATTAATCGATCGCACAGTTATATATTCGCCCTCCTATATATTCAAGGGGCAGCCGACCATCATTTGGGGCGATTCACAACATTCACCGCCCATGAATTCTGATATTCTACATCAATATGCAGCCAGACCGTCAGCTGGTTGTCACAACTCCTGACCCCGGGACTCGATTGTCGATTGTTTGTTTCTTTTTGCAATGTAGCTGTTTGTTTTGGGAAACTGAATTGCATTTGTATCTTTGACAAATCTAGTAGTGCTATGGAGACTCACAAGGGAATTGAATTGTCAGAAAGGTTAAAAGTAAACGGGATTGTTTCGTGGTAGACTGTAATAAAATAGCGTACTTCATCACTAGGGCGTAAAGTGACTCTTTTCGAACCGAGCTCAATTTTGACGAAAATGGGCGAGAGTTGAAAATAAATTTTTTCCCCGTGTGGTGAACTATATTTTTCGTCATATTGCAACATTAGTTTACAAGCTAAGTTAGAAAACGAAAATACGTTTCATGTAAAGATAACCCCTCAAAACGACTTCCACCTTGTTTTCAATTTTGCTAGTTAATATAAGCAGCTGTTCAGTAATTACTAGATCGTCTCGTAAGATTATCTTCCTTATTATACTATCAATTTGTTGACAATAATGCAACAATAAGCCACAACTGATCAATTGATAAATAATGACGATACATGCAACTGCTTACAATCGAAGTTTAAACTGTTTCCATCAGCTTATAATTACTCCCTAGAGACTAAAAATGCTTTTTACTTAAGGGATATACATAATATATATAAATTTGGCCGGATGGTGTTTTTTGCCCTAGGGAATATCAAAACGAAAAGGTAAATCGGTCCTTGGTTATATTATTAATCGATCGCACAGTTATATATTCGCCCTCCTATATATTCAAGTCTGACAATGAGACCTACGGTAGTAGAGTATTCCCTATATGGTAAATTCCCTATTCCCTAAAAAGGATATACAATCGTTTAGGAAATTAAGTGTACAGTTGCTATCTAATAGGCTAATAACATTGAAACTACTACATCTCGTTTTCGGCCTCAAGAGAAGTATCCTATTTGATTAACATAGCCTATTATAAGGAGCTAGCAGACGGCTGTGTTATGATTATTATAACTACTATATAACTCACTGTCAGATATAATTAATGAGCTGCTGTATAAGGCCTTGAGCAATACACGTCTCATGTCACATGTCAATCAAATACCTCAGCCTTGGAACTCAGCCCTGGCTGCTACTGACTCACTCCCCCACACAAACTCACTCAGCTCAACCAAGCTCAACCAACTCAGCTCAACCAAGCTCAACCAACCCAGCTCAACCAAGCTCAACCAACCCAGCTCAACCAAGCTCAACCAAGCTCAACCAACTCAGCTCAACCAAGCTCAACCAACTCAGCTCAACCTTTACGAAATAATCTCACTCGAATATTACCTTATTTAAGTCATACTTTTGATTTAAACCGTCTACACTCTCTTGTCTAATCCCCATAATATAAATAACCCAACTCAATTGCTTAATTATCCGTCTGAACTGAACGTTTTCAAACTGCCCACTCATTCACTCACGTATGCGACCACTGTTAACTTTATCGGCAATCTATTTTACTACTAGCTCACTACTGATTTACTCTACTCATCACTGTAACTCACTTGGATCAATCACTCAACTCAATAACTTTAATAACATAACATACTGTAAAATTTCATAAAACCTGTTTAGCTTTTCTACTCAACAAACTCACCTCGTCCACTCTTCTCTACAAACTCTATTTTGTACGTAGATAACTAAAAAGTATTTCCGGATTTAACTTCCACAGTTAGAGGTAAACGCCACTCCGTAAAGGGTAACTAAGCAATTATTTTCATTAAATCAACAGTTTTCTTGAAATTTACACTTTAGCTCTAAGTGATGGCATATCTTAAAACAGGATTTGACATAACTATAATCGCATTAAATAAGTAAATATTGAACTGAATTGTTAATTCACCGAAAGGAATCTGCTAAAAAGTGTTCGCATGATTGTGTAAGATATAAAATAATTTACCTGTGAATTAGGTTTGTTAAATATCTAGATTGGGTATATTTTAAAAGTATTATCCAAAGTGCAATACATACAATGTTTTCTTTGTTAATTTATCTCGCCGTGGTTGTTCGTATCCGCACGAGCGCGTTGTAGGTCTATACAGTACAGACGGGCTGTGCACCGACCCATATCTTCTATTCTGTGGCGCTCACAAGTCTAAAACTGATTTATACAAACCCCAATGAGGGCAACGCGATTTATTTGTGGTCGAACAAGTCTGAATGTTACAATTCAACGTCAATAATACTAAGTGTTAGTTTTGAAAATTTTATGGATAGTGTAGCCTATGAATGTCTTGTTGGATTAATTTGTCAAAAATAAGTAGAACCTTGATAACAAAACTCTCTTGGGGATTATAAAATAAGTCTGTTTATCAAGGTTGACTTCTTATTGAGGTTCGCAATAACATGTGTTTAGAGGTCAAATAAATTCAAGGGAATTGAAAAATACACTTGTTATCAAGAGTGACTTGTTATCAATGGTCTTCTTATCGAGGTTCCACTGTATTTTTCAAATAAATAAAAACATACTTTTGTAAACCATAAATCCACCACTCCTTCAATACCTTCAAATAATTTATTTAATTGCTTTCTTGTTTTTAATTAAATTTATCTTAAAAAGTTTTTAGCTTGACCATTTGAATTTGATGGGTATCCTCATTTTTGACGAATACTAATCCAAAGACAATGATTATCAGATTAATAAAATATTTATTAATGATTATCACATAATGGTAATGATAAAGATAAAGGCGTCCAAGTTGGACCCACATGAAATAGAAACAGTAAGGGAAGATTTTTTTCATGAATTCACGATGATTGTTTAGTTATCCAAAAATATATGACAAAAACCAACTTAAGTGAAACACCTGAGTAAAATTAGTCTATTATGTTTATATTGTAGCTGATTAACTTTTAGGTAATGCACTACATTGAAACAAAAACAATGACAATTCTAGTAGCAGTTTATTATGGAAGTTTTAAAAGACGTAATAAGAATAGAAACGGATGACAGAAAGTATAGTTTACTGTACATAATAAACCTAAACCTTCAAAGACTAAGGTTTTTATCTAGCTTAATTGTATATACTTCAAGCGTCTAGGTCTTTATTCATCGACCCATGTTCAAAGTCACCAAACAACACAGTTTTGTATGTATTCAATAAGAGTGGCTACAAAATCATCTTTCAACATTTACACCGCAAGTTGTTTAGAGCTGTCTGTGGGGATCGCCGAATTCGATCGATGTTCGCAGATTGCCCATTGAGGCCCCCTACTGCTATAATTACCCAGCACGTGTTTTAACCACGGGACTTAGCAGTGATTGGCTTCATATAGCCTGTGCTGCTGTGTCTGGCCACATTGATGGGTTTATATTTTGTCAATTTACGTGTCATAAAGATAGGGTCTT